TACAATATACTAAACAGCGATATACTTGCATTTAAAAAGAAACGCTAAACGCCCAAAAACCTTGATGCTGATAGATTGATTGATTGAGTTTATTTAAGTAGAACATAATTATAAGTTACTAATGTTACCTTTACCTATCGCCATTAAAATGTGGGTATAATATACCGAGCTGACGAAGTCGTCAAGATACAAAACTGATAATCCGTCGGGACATAACGCCCTTTTTTAGACGCGTCATTGATAATGGGATGAATTTTCGTGAGTGGTTTCCTTTTGACGATTCTTCCAACTTTTCTCTCTGGCAAAATTCTTGCTAGTGGCATGCAAAATAAGATCGGGCCCGTTAAATATGTTAATCTAACGGCTTTTTAAATTTTATACAAAGCACTTTGCTTTATCGCTAAATTGTCAGAAAACTTACAATAAGAAAACGGAGAAAATCGCTTCAGTTGCAAAAGTGATGGGTTGGACTGTCGAGTCTTCCGTTTTCAATTTGTCAAAATCACCAGGTCTAAAATTCTATTACTATTGTTTTATAAGTTATCCGGGAAATTGTATAGCAGACCTAAACAAAAATTTTCAGTCTCTCAGAGTCTTTCAGTGTCTTTCAGCGTCTCTGAGAGCGTCTCTCACAGTCTTTCACTGTTTCTCAGTTATTGCCTAAGTGTTTTTATGGAACTCTCACAGTCTCTGTATGAGAGACTCGAACGATAAAATTTTTAATTCAGAGATTCGAGTCTCTCACAGAGACACTGAATAAATAAAACTGAAAAATTGAGAGACTCGAGTCTCTCCTAGAAAGACTGGGATCTCTGAAATATGTAGAACTTGAAAATTTTAACCATGTCTATCGAGACACCACTTATTGAGAGATTCGAATCTCTTGTTCAGAAACTGGATACGAAGTGAGGATCTCTCTATAAGCGACTCGAGTCTCTCGTTCAGAAACGCTAAACAGTTTTTTTAACAGTCTCTCGACAGTCTCTCTCAGCGACACCAGAGAGACTCGATGAGAGACGGAGACTCGAGTCTTGCTTTCAGAGACTCTGAGAGACTGAATATTTTTATCTCGGGAGGCACGCTCTATAACACGAAGAACTTAAACTGAAGCTTTCGTTCCTTTCTTGTCGTAATGGAACTCAGAATTCAATAAAATTAGTGACGTACAAGATAATTTGGAGATATTGATAAAAAACGAAAGAATGTATGTATTTCAAAACCTAATATTCCACCAAAATAAATTGGAACAATTGATTACAAAATAATTGAATTATTATGAACTATTAAGCATTTTATTTAATGTTGACTGTAAGTCCTTTAAAGGGAAAAATTCAATAATTACAATCAAACTATCTTATATGTAAGAAATTAGATACGCATTATATTAAATTGTGATATAAATTTAGTTAAAATGAAATGCGAAAGTACATATTAATTAAATTGATGGTCCTACAACGTATCAAATAAACTTCTGACGATGTATGAATATTTAGTGATTCTAAAGAAAGCAAATTATTGGTATAGTTGGGACGTTCAGAATTGGCATAGTCCGCAATAAAACTGTCACATTTACTTTCTTCTTTCGACGTACTAACTAGACTAGAGCGGTTGCTGACAGAACGCCTACGACAGACGTTGTAGGGAATATCGTAAACAGAAAAGGGAATTGCAGCGGACATTAATAAAGTAAAAGGAATAATATTACACCAATGAACGTGTAACAGAAAGAGACGCAGACAAGCAGAATTTGAGCACAGAAAAGAGATGTCAGGTAGGAATTGCAGCGGACATTAATAAAGAAAAAGGAATAATATTACACCAATGAACGTGTAACAGAAACAGATGCAGACAAGAAGAATTTGAGTACAGAAAAGAAATGTTAGGTAGGAATTGCAGCGGACATTAATAAAGAAAAAGGAATAATATTACACCAATGAACGTGTAACAGAAAGAGATGCAGACAAGCAGAATTTGAGCACAGAAAAGAGATGTTAGGTAGGAATTGCAGCGGACATTAATAAAGAAAAAGGAATAATATTACACCAATGAACGTGTAACAGAAAGAGATGCAGACAGGCAGAACTTGAGCAAATTTCCAGCTGCGGTCTTTCAAGTTCAACATTCTCAGGAATTTAGGAAAGCAAAGACGTTTTTTTAAAAATTTAATTCCAACTAAGTTGTTATAAAGCCGACCCTGATCTTTAGCGTACCTAAGCAACCCCTAACCGCTGCGCCCCTTATTGTTATTCAGTTATCTCTTTTCACTTTGTCAGTACTACTCATGAAGCATTTCCTAACTTAACAATTGCGTATTCAAAACGCAGCAAATGATTAAAATCCCAAGTGGAAACAAAAAAGAGATAGGTTCATTCTCACGTATAATTTTATTGGGGCCAATTTTGATCGTCCCAACTATAGGAAAATGTCAATTTATATAATCTGTCAAAAGTCAGGAAAAAAAGGCCACGATGGTGGTTGTTAGTAAAAGGAACCATACTATCCGTTTAAACTTTTCTTGAAAAACAAACTTCCTTATTCACTCGCATTCGTAACATTTCGAAAGAAGTTAGGTACCATAAATCACTTTTAAATCTACATATAAATATTTCATGAAGGAACCGTTAAGGATTTCCGGAAATTGGACAATGAGACGCTTGGTTGTTATAAATATTTGATCGATAAGATATTATCCTCTTTACATTAAAACGTATACAACGAATATAGTTTCAGGATTGATGAGTCACAATTTCAAACCCTTTCCCAAAATGATAAAATAATGAGGTGTTTTTGATAAATCATTTATATTTGTTACTTTCAAGGACAGGCAGATAATAATAAGTACGACTACTACACATTATATTATACTAAGACTTCGTTATAAAGGGTTTTTGTGAAGAGTAACTATACAAAAGAAACGGCGATTTCCCTCGTCGTTTCTGTATAAAAATAACGAGTCAAGAAGCTTTTAATAAGTCAAGCTCTTTAAAGTCATCTTCAGCGGCTCAAGTGCGCTCCCCAAAAAGTACGAAAATTACTCTTTCCCATGTCCTCTTTATATACAAGTGGTTCTTGTTTAACAATCGCATTTCATGCTTATGTCGTATAAGCCGAAAGCATTTTCATTCACACTTATCCAAACTAAATGAAGAGGAGTATTAATGAACGAATCTTTGATTGTAAAAATAATCTTTGAATTTATCCACTCCAAAATATATAAAGGTTTTCACAAAAAAACGATGAATCGCCCATTAACACGTAGGTAGGTAAGTACCTAGGTATGACCAATTAGTAATATAATACAGTGGAATGTGAACGAAACACGACAGATCAATAATGTTTGTAGCTTGAAGTGGACATTTATTGGACTGCCCACATATGTACCTCAATCTTTCATAACATGCATCTAGATAAGAGGTAGCCAGCCCGCAGCCCTCCATGGGTACTTTTGCGACCCGCGAGATTCATTATAGTTTTACTAAGTATATTTCTTTTATAATGGTCGCTGATTTTCAGTATCTACAAAGTCAAATAATTCAGGATGGAAGCAAAAGTAGATATGTAAAACAGAGGATGGTGCAGGATCGAGTAGCATTCAACAAAAAAAGTTACAGACATACTCGTATTAGAAACAGAAATAGGAGTTAAGAGGAATAGAGGTAGACATAGTTTAGATTAGGTACTGTTCAAAAATTGTTAAGGATGTGGGATGTTCAAGTCGTACGGAAATGCAAAAATAAGCTCAGGATAGAAAAGAATGCAGGTGCATGTCCAAGACTGACAACCTCATGGTGACGATATTTAGAGATGTGCAATATGGTTTTTTAAAAGTATTCAAATACAAAATGCAAATACTTTTTTGATTTGTTATTGCAAATGTAAAATACAAAATAGATTTCCCTTTTTGTATTTTAAATGCTAAATGTAAAATACGTATTTTCAAAATACTTTTTTCAAATAAATACATTTTTGTAGTATCTATTTAATTTTCTACATTTACATTTGCTCATTTTTTAAATATTGGAGTTTTTCCAGACTAATAGTAGTGTTTGCAGTATATCACAAGCTGCGAAGATTAAGTATTATTTATATTTTTCTATTTGAAGTGATTAAGGTATAGTTTTTCTGTCTTTATGTTACAGTTTCTTCAGTTCAGCAACAAATAATTCTTCTATATGCTTCCTTATTTGCCTTTCTCACCGGTTTAATTGGAAAAAAGACACTAATGCCAAAATAGTTTGTTTACCGTAAAAGATCAGAACCAAAATAGGGTTGCAAATAATTTTATTGATGCAAAATCAACATCAATCATTTTCTATCAAAATATTTACAACCTCATTTTGTTTCTGATGTTTTACACATTGTAATAAGATAAAGAAATGGAATCCATGGTTTCTTTAGCATCGGGTTCATCTAATAAGTGAAGTTTTTTGAATCGTTTTCTAAGAATTTTGGATTATACGCATTTATTAGCACACCACAATATCTTGTAGTTTTCAGTTATACACAACTGGCATATATCAATTCGATATTATTTTGCGGGCTGTTTTCTCGTAATTCATTTCGTAGTTCCTTGCTAAAGGTACGATAAGTGGTGATTTGGCAGGTGCTTGATATCAATTTGGAACTTCAAAATTCGATGGACCATAACATTGAACTCAGAAAACAATATCGATCCAATATTTTAGATTATCCATTTCCAGGTAGTTTAGAATTTTTTGGGCTCTCTTCAGTTGAATTTTTATGTTTTTATTACCTTCAATAGCGATCGGTGTTTGATCGGTGATACTAGCAAAACTTTTAACTGCAAAAATGTATTTTGCATTTTACAAATAGTATAGTATATAGTATTTTAAATAAAATAAAAATGAATATTATAGATATATGAATATGTAGATTGTATGCGCGTATTTCCTTATAAGGCATAAAGAATTTTTAATACTCTTATTAGAGTCACAATGTCATAATTTACATGATTATTGATATGATATTTATTCCTATAGGTAGATGGAAGAACACAGGAAGCAAAATTTCGTATAAGTGCGGGGGGTGTTGGTAGAAATATATGCGAAGCTCTTGAGAAACTAGGAACAATTCCCACATTCATATCTGCTGTTGGCGATGATGATCGCGGAGACTTCCTTCTTTCTTCCATTGGCAAAAAGTCACGGTTGTATGTGCCTAAATTGAAAAACCAAAGGACCTCGCAGTTTATTGTAGTTCTAGACAATAATGGAGAATGTAAACTTCTTCTCGGAGATGGGGACATACATAAATTAATAACTCCAAAAATGGTAGGTCTCAATTTGAATTTTAATAACATTTTGTATGAAAATTATAAATAATTTACGCGCTTACACTTTAAACTTACACAATTACTGTGTTTATCCATGATATATTTATTATTTATTAAAGGACATATTAATTAAGTACTATATTGAGAAGTAAGTAATTTTACTTCATGATGATAATGCAAATACATATATACATATTTATACTTTGAATCACTGTTGAAATTATTTGATTATCTCCTATTATCTTTTAAAATATGTGATACGTTATCTAGTTGGTTTGAGCTAGAATTTTCTTGTAAACTAATACGTTATATGGTTATATTTTTAGGTACTGGACGCTGAAAAAATAATAAAGGAATCTCCATTGATCGTTTTTGATGGAAATTTATCAAGAGAAACAGTTTCCACCCTCTTACATTTAGCTGAGAAGCACAATATCCCTGGTGAGTAATATTTATGCACTATATTATTTTTCTAAGACAACTAAAGCATAAACAACATGATTTGCTTTATGAGCACTTGTAACGCCCACAGCAAGTATTTAATTAAATTACATAATTTTTAGTAAGTTAGAATTAAAAAGTCCANTATTTAATAATTAAAAGCAATACTTCAGTATTGTCTTAATAAAAATATATAGACACCATATATACATGATACTTTTTTTAAGTTTAATAAATGCTCCTGTTAATAGACTATATATTTCTCAAAGCTAAACCTTATTGAGGTGTGATAAAATTCAGAGTTGGAAAATCTGTTTTTCCTCTCCTGTTTGTTCATTTACAATCGGTAATGTTATTTGTGTTTGTTAAATTACATAAAGTAGAATGCGCACAGTAACTGCAAATAAACAGATTATAAAACTTAGTGTATAAGGGCACGCATTTCGCTAATTTCTCCTCTGTCGTTTTTATTGACACGAATGTAATTTGCACGTCTACCATTAAACACGCATGGTCTACTGTTTACGGAAAGCAAGGCAAGAATCGCACGTTAATAACAGGAATAACGCCATATAGAGGCACTGTTTATTACCCAACTTTTATACTCATAAATGTAGCAATTCCATTTGCAGACAGTTAACTGGGGATAAGTGGAGGCTCCAGCGGCTATTATTCGCTGACAGGAAAAGAATTTAAATTATGGGTAAGGTACGTCGATACCTTCATCATTATCGGATGAAGTAGGTTCTTCACTGTCACAATTATTTGAATCCTTTGTGTTTCATATAAGTACTTGTAAAAGTTTGGATTAAAAGTTAAAACTAGATACTCCTTCATAACCAACAAAACGTTTTCCTTAAATCTATATGAGATATACAAAGAAATATATTGTATAGTTAATCCTAAAAAAATACTAGAAATATTTAAAAAACGAAGGCAGCTTCAAAAGGAATACTATTATTTATACGATTATCTGCTGCTCAATACACCTAGCAGAAAAATTATGAAAATCCCACTTTCAAAAATTTTTCTCTCTTTAAGCACGTATTATTCTCAATACCATTAACGTTCGTTAAATAACTTTCCCATTTATAGGTAGTTATGCATTTCTGGATAGTTTCCCAAACTATGATAAGGAAAATTTTATCAAAAAACCTGGCTGTTTTCTAAGTTTCCGGGAAAGTCAGAAGAAGTCAATATTTTTAAGTTAAAAAACTTTGAAAGTTTAGTCCTTGTGAAAATCATTTATTTGATGAAATGCTATTTCTCCTAATTTTTTTCCTAATTTTCGACGCCGTCACATTGATATATTATTATTGTACACTAAATATTGTTAATTGAATACTAATTCACTTGTTTTTTACTGCACATAATTATTTTTATCAAACTATTTCTCTGATCAAATCAAAGAAATCAGTATATATGTTGAATTCATTGCGAATCATTTTTATAACTAAAATTTACTTGATTTAGTGATTTCCCTAATTTTTGAACCGATTGAAATTGCAATAAAAAAAAAATGTTCAACTGTACCTAAAACCAATCGTAATTGTGAATGTCTTCTCAATTAGACTTTCGTTGTATGTTATTAAAAACTACCAACGTTGTTCAAGTTGGTTGTAAATACGGTCGAGACATAGTCTTCGACATCAAGTTTCGTAACAAGTGAAACACTCGTCAGGAATCGCACTCGCACATTCGCGCAAATGACAGAGGTCGCGTAGTGTCGCCGCACCAGGTGCTGGTGCACGTCGAAGCAGTTTATGAACATGCTTTTACTTTATGCGACCGAACCGACGGGGAACTCCCTGCGAGACGGAAGCGGCACTAACGGAAAGCTTTGTCGTTCGACGGTGGAGGGTCAGCGATACCGACGCTTGCGCGTCGGCGTCACGACGGCAATCGACAACAACGACGACGAACACCACGACGTCGACGTCCAAGTCCAATAGTAGTCTAAAAGTTTAATTACCGTTCTTGTTCGTACATCACTGCTTAATACTTGTACCTTTCCTCTACTTATTACCATTTCCAATAACACTAAATTGTTTCTTATGTTGCGATTGTGTCTATGTCTATATTATTAATAATATTTTTTAATATAAGACACAAATCAAAAAGAGCTTTCATACTATACTTATAGGCGGAGTTTATCAAAAGCTGTAAAGCTCTGGTGATTTCCATAAGAACTGGGCAGAGATTTAGTACCTTGTACTGTGAAATGTTCTTCCAATCCTTTCAGGGCTTAGAAGCACTGTAATTCAAGCCCTAATGAACCAGTAAGTAACGGGGGCTTGGTAAACGAATTATTTCATAAAAGTGCTTCATAATTTGTAATTTAAGCTCTATCAAAGTGCATGAAGCACTTTCTAAATGCTTAGGGCTTTGAATCTAACTATCTAACTGGTAATTCGAAGTCCTTAGATTTAAAAATGAAATTGGAGCCTCAATGACTAGGACACACCAAGTAAGAGCTAAGGTGTTCAAAATTGTTTGGTGAGGGGCTCTGATCTTCATAGCTGTTTCCAGAAGCCCTATTCCTTTTTTCTCAATTTTATTGCCAATAGTTCTAGAAATAGGAGAGGTATTGTCATGAAGTAATTCAGCAGGCGATACCGAAAGCTGACATCCCCAACCCATAAATCATGCTAGCCAACAATGACTGTATATAACAGATTATGGTTTCGATTTTAATAAATTTCTTATGTTTGTATATCGGAATCTGTATAAATAAATATTATACTAGAAAATTCGTTGCAAAATGTAACTGGAACACAAATTTTTATCTGCAGTCATATGATACTTACTGACTTCAGACAATACCCCTCAAAATAGTTAAAACTAAAATAAATAAATAAATTGGAATACCCATGCAGCCCGCTCCTCGCCCCCACCCCTAAAATTTCTCATAAATATTTTTGCGTTAAATTTTATATTTCTACATCAAATTATTTTTTGAAATGATAATCCTTTGATAACAAACGAACGAACATTAGTTTTATTAGAATTTGACTTTTCCTTTTTTCAAAAATAACTAATCATATTGTTAACATAAATATTTTGTAAATCTCAATCGCAGAAATGTATCTATATACCTACTGTACGTATGGAAATATATAGCAGAAGTTGTTTACTTGATTTCGTAAATAAAAAGCAATATTTTGAGAAATATGAATGGCACGCTATAAATCACGGAGCAGGAGGGATATGAGAAACATAGCAAGTATTGGTCACAAGAGAACGGAGAATTTACATTTCTCTTGCACAGTCGCTGTGCTCTTTTTGCCAAGAAAAGTGCATTCGAATTTCTTATCTTGAAAAGGAATTTACATATAATAAATATCGAGAAGGTTTCTCCTTCTTTTTGCTATATACTATAAGAGAAACATTTTTCATTCTTATTAATCATTTATTAAATATCCAAATCATTTGTCGAAAAATCACATCGTGATAGTTGCATCGAAATAATTTTCTTTTTAGTATTCTTATGAATAGTTCCGTTTTGTCACTCAGAAACCTCAAAATTTAATCGTGTTCAGTAGTTTTTCAGTTTCTATTTTAAAATTACTTTATTTCAATCAAAATATTCTCCAACTTATTTCCATCGTCCTCTCATTTCTGTTCTAATAAGCTTCGCATGGCCTCCACGCGGGCGCATTTCCTTATAGCGGAAATTACTTTGTGGGAATTTCATGCAGAATTCATGAGTTTCACACAACAAAGGTTATACATTACAATGTCATCTAATAGTATCCAATTTTTCTAGTATTAATGATTCATGCATTATTGTTATATGTATCTATTATTACAAAAATTGAGTAAACTAAGGATATATATATATATATATAAAGATGATAAAATATCTTCTTGAGTCATAAAAATATAAATAATAATAAAGTAATTTTTACCCTCGGCTTCACTCGCATTGATGTCCTAAATACGCGTCAAAGATCGGCGACCACATAAAATAAATTTTTTCTATCCTTCGGGAACAGTATTCTTTTTGGGATAAAAGGTATCCTGCGTCCTTTTCTATACTCCTGTGTGTACAAAATTGTAAGATGGCTCAGGATATGTAGTAGAGATATAAAGCAGAAGATAGCGCACGGTCAATAAAAAGAAGTAACTTCTATTCTCGTGAACGATTAATTTTTAAATTCGAAAAAGATTGATAAAAGGTGTATGATTGGAGCGCGTCGCTGTACGGGTGCGAAACATAAACGGTGGGCGCGGCGGAAAAGAAAAGGTTAAAAGCGTTTGAAATGTGGTGTTATAGGCGAATGATGAGGATAACGTGGATAGAGAAGGTTAGAAATGAAGAGGTATTAGAAAGAATAGGAGAACAGAGGACTCTATTGAAGTCAATAAGAAATAGCCGAGATAGGTTAGTAGGACACCTTCTTATGCATGAAGGTCTAGTCTGAAACATATTAGAGGCAGAAACAGGCGTTAAGTGGAGTCGAGGTAGACTTAGATTAGATGACTGTTCACAAATAATTAAGGATGTGGGATGTTCTAATTTTAGGGAAATGTGAAGATTAGCTCAAGATAGGAAAGTGTGGAGGTGCGTGTCCAAACAGTCTTAGGACTGACGATCTTATGATGATGATATGAAAGAAATAATAGCTCATGGTCGAATTACTTTTGACAAAAGGAAAGCACTTTTATACTCGCCATCCATTAATTTGAAAATTCGAGGGTGTCAATTGTGGATGGTGGACCCTGGGTGTGGTAGACGGTTTAAAGGAAGGTGACTACCATGAGGGACTAAAAATTGTTGATATTTTAAACTATTATAGTCTTCCGGGCTTTGAGGCCGTAATCTAAAGCTCTAGAGGTTGATTTGTTGTTACCTAACGTTTCGTGTAACGGCTGTGGTTGACATCTTCAGAGGTATTGAGGACGGTGGAGTAGATTTCTATCTGGAAGTGTTCTTCTCAGCCATTGAGGAAACGTTAGGCAGCAATAAACCAGCCTCTAGAGCACGGCCCCAAAGCCCGGAAGACTATAATAGTTTAGATGACGCCGGCTGTGAAAACCTATATACTTTTATTAATGATTATTTGTATTAAAAGCATAACTGATTGTAGGGAGCAACTTGAAAATTAACACGCTTAATTATATAATATTGACAGCATGTAATCCATTTGTTTGTGCCTGAAGAGATTAACAGTAAAGAATTGACGAAACGTCGCAAATTAGAATATGGATTAATTTTCAAGTTGCTCCTTATGATCAGTTATACTTTTATAAAAAATACTGTGAAAGGCGATAATAATGTATTCAGAAGAAATTAATTCACTTGTGATTTATTACTAAATCCCGGAACTTAATTGCCACACCTCATATGTAGGTAGGTACCATTTCCTCATCAGAAACCTCTACAAACAAAGAATAAATTAACAATCAACCCTGAGGAAGCCCAATCGTTACAGATGAAACGGAGGTGTTGTTAGCGATATTAAATTGTCCTTTAACCCCGATTTGGGTTTGATTTCTACGTAATATTTGCTTTAACCTTCAAAATACTGTAGAAACAAGGACTGTGAAAACAGTTAAACATATTATCCTTCGAAAATAAAGAATCAGATCAGATAATAAAAAGCAACGTAATATTTAACTTCACTCTTGTGTAAGAACCGAATAAATAAAAGAAAGGAGTTATTGAAGTCCTTTTTGTTGGGAGAGAACTTGAAGGACAGCCAACAGTATTTGAGGTCACGTATCTTTTTCCAATCTACGGCAGTTTACTCAAGTTTCCCAGGAGTCCGTCATTACCACTTGATTTCCCCGGTCACTTCCAAAAAATGATGTTGACCGAAACATTGGATAAAATACAATAAACTCTTTATTTAACACCAGCCGAAGTTAACTGTCATACACCTATACCATAAAAATGTCGAAGTTGTTATTATATTTCTAACTCATTTAGCGAAATAAAAAAAAGCAAGTTAAAAATTGTGGTAAGCATTTCTACTTTCGAGTTAATTAATAATACTTAAATGAGTATATGGTGATTAAAAGCTCATCTAATACTTTATTAGGTGTCTGTAGACAGAAGTTTTGCATAATAATGTATCTATTGATAATACTGTAAAATTAATTGCTACAAATATAGAAATAATGTACCTATTATAATTTTCCTATACAAATTATGTACAGTTATGTATTTCCTTTAAATTTTAAATCCACTAGTTTTAGAAATAATGGCGGAAGAATACCCTAATGTCGCACTTTTTTCAGAATATCTTTTAAAGTAATTCCTCATAAAATGCCCCAACAAAATATATAAAATTTAAAAAAATATGGTGGCAGCAGAGACAGATACTTTAGTTTGCCTCTACTTCAAATTTTATTAAATATTGTTAATTGCCACAAAAGAGATGAATTGATAAATACACTACGAAATGAAATTTGAAATAGATGATTAATTTGCCAGTCATTTATGAAAGTGTTTTTATAGGGGATTTTTAAGGTACGAAACCCTAAGAATAATTAAAAATCCATATTTAGTTAATAATAAAAAGATGCAATAATCTATAAGTTCCAAAAAATAAAAATAAAATCGCCACAAACTTCACAAAAATTTTATTTAAAAATTCAGATGTACCTACAATTAGATCCCAAAGTGGTTATCTTCGAATACAATAACAAAACAATACTATACTAATTTTATTAATTCTTGCGAGATGAGTGATTATTTAAGTGATGAATGTCAAAATTATAAGATTTTTCCTATAAGTATTTATTAAATCTGCCTCCATAATACGATTCTAAATTTAAATAATCAAAGTTAAAACCGGCAAACATAAATAGTAATCGAGCACGGCATTGTACGGGTGCGAAACATGGATGGTGGGCGCGGCGGAAAAGAAAAGGTTAGAAGCGTTCGAAATGTGGTGTTATAGGCGGATGATGAGGATATCGTGGGTAGAAAAGGTTAGA